GAAGGCACCAGAATGAGCAGGGTTTGGTGCAGGGAAGGATTGGTGGCAGTGATGCCACCTCTTCCCCAGTTTGGGCATTTATCCCTGAGGCCCAGGTGTCATCCAGGTAGGGTTGGCAGGGGGCTACCTGTGAACATTTCTTTACTCTTGAAAACAGACAGGACCTAGAAAGAACTCCTGCCTGGGTGGTCAGGAAAGCAGGCAGACACCCCCCCACCCCCCTCCACCCCCCACCCCCTGCCAAACAGTGCAGTCCTCAGCAACAGCACCCTGCCTGAGAAGCCCCTCCCCATTCCACACCAGCAGCTTAAGGGCCAGAACTCTAGGCTGCCACCAGGAGACCTAGGATCACTTCCTAGCTCTGCTTCTGATTCTCTGGGTGACCTCTGGCAAGTCGGTGAGCCTCTCTGTCTTAGGCACCTCATCCATCACAGGGAGAAGAGAGTCTACCACCTGGTTTTGCTGTGGGGTTAGCTTGATGCGATTGGTGAAGGCTGCTGGTGGCTGTAAATCATGCCTTAAGTGCAGTGGGCTATTACAATAGTTTAATTGTTATGTACCTTACTGTGGTGACAGCATTCAGGGCTCCCTATCAGGATGACACAACATGGCTTGCCCTCTGGAATCACAGAATCTAAGGCAAGAAAACAGGCTTTAACACATAGGTTCCTCTTAATAGCTAAAGCCCATTCCCAGGAAGCCAGTTAGGACATGCTGGGCCCTGTGCCCACAAAGTTCAATTAGCCCTGCCGGCTGACACCGGGGCCTGCGGAAGCCGTGTGCTCTGCCTGTTCAGCACCCCCAGCCCCTGTCAGGCCCCGGGGGCTGACAGCTCAGAACACTGAGCATTAGCTAGTCACTCTTCTTTCTGAAAAACACAACTCTATTAAAATAACAGCATGATTTAGTTAATTATTCCCCATAGTGGTGAGCAACTGTAGGAATACAATTCATTCGGCTCCCTGCTGCCTGATTGAGTTTCCTAAAATCCCACTTTGCACTTGTCATTGCATCCCCTCCCCCAAAGCTTTCAGTGGCTCCCAAGATTGCCTCGGATAAGGCCCCAAACCCTGGGTCTGAGACTTCAGGACCTCTACTCCCTGGGCCTTGCCTACTTCTCTGCCTTACCTCACTGGCAGGACTGGGCACTCTGGACAAACTGGACTGTCTGTTCCATGTCCTTGTCTCTGCCTCTTTCAACTGAGGAGTTCCTTTAAGACTGATCAAATCTAGCTTCCTCCATGAAGCCTTTGGATTGCTACAGTCTAGAGTTTCTCCAAGTGAACTTGCACCATTGGCATCATAATCACACGAAATGCATGGAGGGGGTTGGGGGAGTGTTTAAAATTCTGATTCGTGATTCTCACCCCTAACCTATTAGGTCAGACTTCCAGGAGTGGGTCTTGAAATTTGCTCATTTAACAACTCCCACCCCATTCCATCATGCTCCACTGACCCAGCCCTTGGTCATAAACTGTTCTGCTTTGAACCTCTGCAGCACTCAAGCCTGGAACTCATGCTTAGACACATCACATGATAGAACAAGATGGACTAGACACTCCAAAGACCGTCTCTCTATAAAATACCCAAATCTTTCATAAACCATATCGAATGACACGGGGCTTGGGAGAAGTCAGGGAAATCTTTAAGGCTGCCCTGAAGGAAAATGCTGATGCCAGCTCTATAGCAGGGATAATTGTAGAGAAGTCAGGAAAACTGGCTCAGACTATTGTTTCAAACAGGAACTCAAGTGCCTGGTGTCCTCTGGCTTCCAGAAAAAGCTATTGCAGATCCTTTGTGAAAGAAAACATTCCATTTAGTCCCCCAGGATTCTGACAGATTAGGGTTAAGCAAAACAAACTCATGATCAAAGTTCACCAAACTAGGAAAGAGGCCACCATGAGTGAGAGCCAGCAGAAACCATAAAGGACAGATTTGAATTCTCCTGAGTTCTGATACTAGAGTTATCATACACAAAATAGTTATACATAAAATATTTTTTAAATAAAAGGTGAAATGGCAAAGATAATCACACAACAAAATTCTCTCAAAAATGACAAAGCAGATTTTTCAAAGATCTGAATGGACCTTATAATAAAAATGAACCCAATGGATGGGTCAAACAGGAGATCTGACATAGCTGAAGAATTAGTGAGGTGGGGCCTAAACCCACATTTTGATTGCAGCACAGCAAGTCAAAAAAATGAAATATGAAAGAAGGGTGGAAGACTAGAGTCTCAGAAGAATAGACAGGGATAGAGAAAAGGAAATATTTGAAATGAAATATCTGGAAACTTTTCAATTCTGAATAAAAAGGTGGGTTCACAAAGACAGAAAACACATCAAAAAGCAGGATAAATAATAAGCTAAAAAGGCCTCACCTAGACCACCTGCTGTGGCTGCCTGAATTTTATGGGCTCAGGGTCTACTAAGTCCTAACTGGTTTCCTGAAGATGGGCAGTGGCTACTAAGAGAACATCAAACAAAAAGAGAAACCCGGCTCTGCGCCTATAGCTCAACCGGCTAAGGCGCCAGCCACGTACACCTAAGGTGGCGGGTTCGAATCCCCAGCCCGGACCCGCCAAACAACAATAACGGCTGCAACCAAAAAATGGCCGGGCGTTGTGGCGGGCGCCTGTGGTCCCAGCTACTTGGGAGGCGGAGGCAGGAGACTCGCTTGAGCCCAGGAGTTGGAGGTTGCTGTGAGCTGTAATGCCACGGCACTCTGCCCAGGGGGACAGCTTGAGGCTCTGTCTCAAAAAAAAAAAAAAAAAGAGAAACCCCTAAAAGCAGCCAAGGGAAAAGACAGATCTCATGCCATGCCTCCTTACAATGTCAGTTCTCTGCATGTGAACACACCTAGTCTCTCCAGCCAGACTGAAGTCCCTTAATGCCCAGGCCTCCATCATCTGTGCGCCCTCAGGTACGTCATTAAACCTCTGAGTCTCAGGTTTCTCACTGGCAAAAGAGATGAAGGTCACATTGGGATATGGTGGGAAAGAGCCTTGGCTTTGGAGTAGGGCAGACCTGGGATAGATTCTAGCTCTACTACTTGCTAGCTGGGCTCTTTGCTTTCTTGGACCTGACACTCCCACATAAGTCAAGGTGGGGTGTGTGTGTGTTCATGTTGAAGTTAAAAAGAATGAAGAGCAAGATTACAAACACCCACGTAAGGATTATGATCATTAAAATATTCACTCAAATACCCACTCTGTGCAGACATTCCTTTTACATTCTCTCATGGAGTCCTTGCAACATCCTGTAAAGTGGCCATTATTTGGGGAAGGAACTTCAGAAGCCACGGCAGGAGAACAACTCCCCCCTCAGCTCACAATATAAGTAGTACTTTCAAAGGTCTGTGCAAAGTTCTTTCTATCTTAATTTTCTTTCTCTTCCTTCATCTCTGACTCCACTTTCACTCCCCATGACACCAGCACACATTCTGGTGCACTTGATACGTGTCCTTGAATACATATGCCTATCCTTGCTAAACAGGTAGTGTTGGTTTGCCTGAGAACGTGTTTCTAACTTCCATAAATGATATTGTGGGATAGGCCTTCATTCTGTTTCTGGTTTTCCTGTTCCATACTATATTTTTAATATCTACCCTTATACTTGTCAGTACACCTAGCGCGTTGTGTTTCAATGCTGTTTGGCATTCCAAAGTGTGCATAGTAGCCCTACTTGACAGGTAAAGTGACTGAGGCTCAGAGAGACTAGATGTCCTTGCTTAAGGTCACACAGCCAGCAAGGGGCTGGCCTTGGTCAAGTCTTCCCAGCAGGCTTCTCTTTCTTCACAAAGAGAGCAGCTTATTGCCTTTTTCTGGGCCCACTGACCTACCTACCTGTTCCCATAAGAGGAAGATCTCCATTGGGCCTCAACTGCCTCTAAAATACCCCATCCACCCTGGTGTCTAAATTCTTAAAGTCTCCACTCCTTTCTTTTACACCTTTTCAGTGGATTTCTTTCACAGGCTTTAACTTAGCATATTTAATTAGTAATATACTTTCATTTATTTAAGTAGTAATACAATTGTATGTTTCCATATTCAGAAGACATGAAAGGTATATAGAGTGAAGTATCTCTCTGGGCTGACCCCTAACCACTCAGTTTCCCAGTTGGAAAGCAACCACTGTTACCAGTATTTTTAAAACCTTATTTTTAGAGGTAGTATCTTACTCTTCACTCAGGCTGGAGTGTAATGGTGCTCAATGCAGCCTCAAACTCCTGGGCTCAAGTGATCCTCCCACCTCAGCCTCCTGAGTAGTGTTCCCAGTATTTTATGAGTCCTACAGATATATTTTATCCACATACAAAAATATGTTTACATGATGTTCTCACCCCCTATTTTTATACAAATGCCAGTGCACGCTTTATACTTTCTACATCTCACCTGTGTCCCCTCTGACAGTGTCTCGGGGATTGTTCCCCATCAGTGCTCTAACAACTTCTGCTTTCTTTATGGCTGCATAAAATTCCACCATATGCTTATACTATCATTTTTCAACTAGGTCCCTACTGATGGACATTAGATTGTTCAACGGTTTTTTTAAAATGCTGCAGTGAACATCATTATATGCATGCCCTTTCTCCTGGAGGCAAGTGGAGTGGATATTATGATGCACCACTCAGACCCCTGTAAGGGCTGGGACACTTATTCCCCCAACTCCCAGGCGTGGAACATTGCTCGCAACTACAGACCTCTTCAGGAACTGTGCTTTCTGACTCTCAATCAGGGTTGTGTCCTTCCCTGGGGCATAAACACCCACCGAGTGATCTATGGGGGCCCCTTGCCTGAGCTGGGGACTCGCCAGCCCAGAGCTCCCCTGGGATCTCTGCATTGTGTTCAGCTCTCCCTCTGCCCATCCTCCCTCCCTCACTCCCCTACAGGTGTTGTTCTCAAGAACATTCCCCAATAATCCTACTGTATGCAAATCTCTGCCTCAGAGATTGTTTCCAGGGAATGCAAACAAAGACACAAAGGAAAAAATATTTCTAGTTAGGGAATCAAAGGACCAATGTTTATATGTGCTTGTAATTTGGGTAGATTACAACATATTTTCAAAGAACAGCACAGAAGGATATGCACACGGCAGGCATGCAATCACTATGCTGACCGCATCCCTTCCTCCTGATCCAGGTTAGAAGGCTCTTTTATGCACATGGTCATGTAGAATTTTCCAGCACCCCCAGATGACAGGCAGGACAGACAAGCCTACCACTTTGCAGCTGGGGAGCTTGGCCCGGAGGATGCTGCTTGCCCAGGATGGCACAGCTGATGTGGCAGAGGCAAGGCCACCCTGGTTTACCCCAGACATGAAGACTAGGGCCAGTGGATGCTGCTGAGATCTTCTCCTTATCCAGTGGCACCAGAGAAAGGGAGGGCCTGTAGGAAAAACAGACATAATAGGAGGTGCAGCTGAGGAATTCCATGCCTTGTGAACTACATCACGTGGGAGAGTCCTCCCAATGGCCCCAACATTGTCTCCTTTCAGTGCTCTTGGGCCCTCTGTAGTTTTCTACTGGACCTGGAGGGTGGTCCTTTGTGAGACGAAGTTGTTAAAATTTTTTATGGAACAAGTCAGGTGGGGTGGGGATGGGAAACTTTCCTTCCCTCCTTCCTCTCAGAGGATTCTTCTTCAACCCTGCCCAGAGTACCTCCTCAAAAGCAAGTCTAAGCCCAGAAATAGAGGGGAAGCAGGAAAGAGGAGAAAAGCATTTCCCTTCACGGTGTGCATAGCTGTGCACGTCCCAACCTTCCCTCTCCAAAGCGCCTCCGCCTATGTAGAGCTGCCTGGTCTACAGCTGTGCAGAGGGCTCCCGCTCCCCAAAGGTCAAGCTCTAGGGTCCAACTCACTGCTACTCAGGAAGGAGGGCAAGTGGATCCCACAGCTTCTTCCATCTCAATACTGCCTGTCATCCCAAACCCAGCTGACAGGCCCTCTCTGCCACAGCCAACTGTCACACAAGCCACAGCCCAAGGACTTTCCAACTCTGGGTCTCCAACAGGGTGCTAGGAGAGGGCAGAGTTCACAGGACTTCCTACCCAAGGTCCTGCTCATGTCTGATGCCCCCAGACTGCCCAGTCTGACCCACCCTCCCTTTTCCCCTTCCCTCAAACTCTCAAGGCCAATGTAAGATGTTAGACGCCAAGAGAAACCAATTCAGACTAATGTTAAGAGCTATGTGCAATCGCTCCACAAGCTCCTCAAATATCCACCTCATTTTCAGACCTCCCAAAAATAATTTTTGCACTAAAATAAATTTTATAACCATTTATAACAGCCTCTACTTACCCCTGGCCTTACAGACCCTCAGCCTGGATGGCCTCCTTCTCCCCTGCTCCTCCACCCTGCAGAACGTCCTGCACATTGTCCAACCCTCCCCCTAGTGCCCCCCAGTGCCCCTTCTCTAGGATGCCTCCCCCATCCTTCTGGGCAGGTGTGCTCCCTCTCCCACAGACCTCAATAAGCACTGCTCACACTCAGGGCTATGGGTCAAATTCTGACCCCCACTGCTAAGTTTCCACGCTGACATCTTCATCCCCAGGCTCTCCCAATGCCCTTTATTGGAAATAGAGTCATTGCAGATTTAGTTATTTAAAATGAAGTCATTCTGGAGTAGGGTGAATCCTGTATGACTTTTGTCCTTATAAAAAGATGGCTATGCGAAGGGAAAGAGACACACACAGAAGGAGGATGGCATGAAAACACCATCTATTACACGAGGAATGTGAAGATAACCAGCAAGCCCCCAGAAGCCAGGAGACAGGCCTGGGACAGATTCTTGACTTCAAGCCTCCAGAACTCGGAGAAAATACCTTTCTGCTGTGTAGCTTCCCTGGGCTGTGGGACGTGGTCACAGCGGCTCTGGTGGACTAACGCTGTAAGTGAGCAGCTGGTCTGCACGGGCTAACCCTGGACTCCACATGGACACACTAGTACATTCCTGGGGTGCTCATCACCCTTACTTGCACTTTGAGAAACCGAAACTCAGAGCTGGTTAAAGGGTAGAACCAAGACACGAATTCAGGCCATCCCGTTCCAAAGTCTGTGTTCTTAACCACTAGCCTCTATGCACCTGTATCATCATCTCATTATCATCGTCATTATTATTATTGGAGGGAGATGTGCAGAATTCCTCTGGGCTCTGAACTCAGCACTTGCTGAGAGTCCTGCTGTGAAGGAGAAAGAAATCTTCTAGCAGCTCCATGGGCTTGCCCAGGCTCCTACCTGTTAAAAAGCAGGGTCAGGATTTGCTCCAGGACCCCTGTCTCCTTTACACAGACACCCCACTGCAGTTCCGGGCATCTGCGCCATCTGCCTTCCAGCCCAGCTGTGCGTGCCCTGACAGGACAGAAGCCTCTCACTCAGGTCTCAGTGCCCCAAGGGCTCAGGGTGCTGCACACAGTAGGGGGTCTGTGCGTGCAGGCAGAGAGAACTCGTGTGCTTCTGACACTACGCTGCACTTCTTGGCTCTCGTAACGACATTTCATACATAGCTCTGGGATGTATCGACAGAATTCTCATCTCAGCCTGCTAAGTGCCTGCCTAATTTTCCACTCTATTGACAGACTCCATTTTACTTAACTGGCCCCCATTGTGTAGCAATTGGGTGGTTTCTCATCCTCTCCTAAACTGAGGGGAGGCGCCAGAGATGCCTGTGCTGTGGTGTTGCTACGTTTTGAAGGAGCCTGACTTGAAAGAAGGTTTCCGTGCCACCAGCGGCAGGAGGCCAGCTAAAGAGAAGCTTGAGGACATACATGCCTGGGCTGTCCTGGGGCTCAGTAGGTGTCACCCTGCCCCAGCCACCCTCTCCATGCCTTCAGTCTCCATGCACCCTTGCTGACCCCTTTGAAGGAACAAAGGGCAGAGTGTCCATGTGGCCTGGCTCCACCCTCCCCACCTGTCCTGCTCTGGCCCCCTACTCTCTTGTCTGCTCCCTGTCTTACCTTTTTAAATGTGTCCATGAGACGGAATTTTAGGATTCTTTCAGTAACCTTCATTGAGCACCTATGGGGTGCCCAACACTGAGCCAAGTGCTGGAGATTCGTAGTGGCTAAAAGAGGTACCATCCCTGCTCATGGGATTGACATTCCAGAGCAGAGAGACAGGCAACGAACAGAGGTGACCTGGTGGGTAGCGATAAGTGCTGTGGTAGCAGGAGCAGGGGGGCTGGCCCTAAAGCTTTCCTTCAGGTAGGCTCCTGGGGAGGTGAGCAGAGACCTGAACAAAGAGAAGGGAGTGAAACCTGTGGAGATGAGGGGAACTGTCCAGGTTAAGAGAGCAGTGAGTGCAAAAGTCCTGAGGTCCACGTGCTGACCTGCCCTGGAAACCACAAGGAGGTCATGTGGCTAAAGCAGCTGGGCCACAGTGGCCTCATGGTGCAGGGCTCCAGTCCTGACCCTGCAGCTTTGGCTTTTGCACCTGCAGGTGAGATCCAAGGGTCTGTGCAGACCTGGAGTCTAACCGCCTTGTTTTAAAACATCCCTCTGGCTGCTATGAGAATAGACTAAAGGGGGACATGGGCAAAAGCAGATGCCATAGTCCAAGAGACTATGGTGGCCTGGGCCAGGTGATGCAGGGCCAGGTCACACACACATACTCCCAATGATTCCAGATCTATTTTGAAGTTAGGACTGATGGCATTATCACCTACAGAAAGAACTTGGAGCTCATTTCCCATGAATAGGTGACCAGACTGAGGTCCAGAGAGAGGAAGGGGCCCTTCTGGGCCACACACATGATTGGAACATGGACCTGGCATCTGGTCGCAGCGACTCCAAGCCTATGCTCTTGCCCCAACATCTCACTCTGCCTCTGAAGTTTTTCATCATGTCTCTTCCTCCTTTGTCCTGCTCTGTCCCCAGTTTCTGTCTCTCTATCTCTGTGGATGCCTCTGCATTTATTTCTCCTCCTGTCAGGCTCAATTTGGAACATTAATTAGTGATGAATTAGCAACGTAAATCCCAGCCGTTGCTGTCGCCTAGTGCCCATGGGCGGGCTCTTGGAAGGGACCTTGCAAATCTGACCTTAATACCTCTCGCCTCCTCTCCTGGGGCAATTACTTCTCACATCATTTGTCTGCGGAGGCTGTGCCCAGCCCCCACTCTCCCAGACTGGCTGAGGACAACAAGTTCATCTTTGTCAATTAATTATTGAACGGTTTATTTCGCACTGGGAGGCGATAAGAAAAGGGAAAACCGCATGTTGTGAAATCATCACCATAATTATACAGATGCGGCTGCATTACCCAGCATCACAATGCCGCAGGTGCCGTGGGGTAGAGAGAGAAGTAAGGGGCAGAGGTCAGAGTGGCAGGAGGCTGGATTGTGTGGCCTTAGGACAGTACTTGGGCCTCTCTGGATTGTGATCATAGTCATGTCGAGCTTGCAGAGTCCAATTCCACATGAGCGGGAGACAGAGAATGAAGGTCGTAGGTAACCACAGGCGCAGGTCTCTGATTCTTCAACTAAAGTGACCATACTGTGGGAAAGCTAAGGATGTCTTTTTGGTTCTCCCCACCTGTGCTTCCCCCAGCAAGCATAAAACGGCTGCATAGTAGAGGGTTTTTGATAATCAAGCAAAAAGCCCTTACAATGGCCCACAAGGCCCAGAACATCTGACTCCCTCCTCAACTGGCCTGCTACCTCTTACCTTATTTCTGAGAGCCTCTCTTTTGCATATTGCACTCCAGTCATGTTGATCTCCTTGCTACTCCCTGCACATGCCAATACACTGTCACCCCAGGGCCTTTGCATGTGCTATTCCTTTTGCTTGGAGTGCCCTTTCCTCAGAAATCTGTATGGCTCACTCTGTCACCTCCTGCACATCCTTATCAAGTATCACCTTTCAGTGAGACCCTACCTGAGCACTTCATTTAAAATTTTAATCTGGGGGGATGGCTAATGCCTGTAATCCTAGCACTCTAGGAGGCTGAGACAGGTGGATTGCCTGAGCTCAGGAATTAGAGACCAGCCGGAGTAAGAGCGAGACCTTGTCTCTACTAAAAATAGAAAAAACTAGCCAGGCATTGTGGCGGGAGCATTTAGTCCCAGCTACTCAGGAGGCTGAGGCAGGAGGATCTCCTGAGCCCAAGAGTTTGAGGTTGCTGTGAGTTCTGATGCCACAACACTCTATCAAGGGTGATATAGTGAGACTTTGTCTCAATAAAATAAAATAAAATAAAATGGTAACCCCCCATCCCAACACAAACATTCTCTCTTTCTGCTTTATTTTTCTCCAGAACATTTCATCACATTTGACATATGATGTATTTTACATATTTATTTATTTACTCTCTGTCTGTTTCTCTCTCCAGAGTATAAGCTCCACAAGGGCTGGGATTTTTATCTGTCTCACCCTCTATCTCCCATCCCCAACATTC